CACCAGAAAACGCCGATCATGAACCTCGAGAAGAGTTCAGCGGAACAAAGAAGACGAAAACTTTTGGATTTCATTAAGGGGAGGAAAGCACATATCGCGCGTCAAAACAAAGGGTTACAATGGCAAAATGACATCAAGGCAGCGCAACTACACTTAATCCATCATAACGTTGATAGTGGAAGTTGCCCCAGCCTCCTCGTCTGCCGCCGCGGCAGGTTCCCCACCCTTAGCCGCTCCAGATCCCCCATCCTCGACCGCATCCTCCGTGCGCACGTCATCTTCCTCATTCTCCGACTCATCCTCTGATTCGAAGTCGAACTCCAAGGACCTTTTCTCGCGCAGCCACATCTGCACATGCTGAACCATTTCGCGAGTTCTCCACCGGACCCCTGGGTTCTCCGGTCGCACAAACCTACGCCTCGCGCACGGCTTCTACCTCTCCTTCTGAAATTCCTCGCGGACCTGCTTCAGCTTCTCCGCGTGATCCGATTCCAGCCTCTCCCTTTCTTGCGCCCGCTCATCTGCCAACCACTTGAGCAACTTGAGCGGCATTACTATTGCACGCCGAAGGGAAACTTGAGCGGCATTACTATTTCACGCCGCACTGGTGTGGATCCGCACATCGCGATAATAGTTGATGGCGGTTATTTCCGGCAGTGTCTGCTGGACGGCACCCCAGATGAACCGGCGGCCGCTGTTCCCTCAAAGCAAGGAGGTTTACTCACCCGCGCCGCCTGCTTAATAATCACCAGTGGCAGCTGCTGCACTGGTGGCAAAGGTTGTTCAGTCACCCGCGCAGCCTTCTCAGGCATGTTCGCAACCAAAGGCTGCTCCACTTCTTTCCTCTTCGCGCCACTAGTTCGCGCGCCTTCCTTCTTCTTCTTCTCGCCGCACGGAGCCCGCGGAGCCTTGACCACGTCGTCCACTAACATCATACTCGACAGCGAAGAGAAGTCAACACCTACGCCAATAAGTCGTAAGACAACCGTTAATATGACAGAATGCAAGAAGAAAGAAATATAACAAACCATCAGCAAAGAGCTCCTCTAAGCAAGTCGCACGGACTCCGTTGGAGTACAAGTTTACCCTATGAAGCAAGCAGGCCTCATATTCATCATCAAGCCCATCATATTTGCCCAGCGCGGACTCGTAGCCGCGTAAACTCCCTTTCTTCCAAACAGTCGGCTCCTCCACATACTCCCCGGCCCACTCCTCCGGGATTGGATTCACGAAAAATAACCGATTGAACCAGTTCTTCTCCAACTTCGGGGACCCATACACATAACCATCGGGCCGCTTGTCTCGCCGCCTAATGGAAAGATAATCGCTCGTCTCTGTGGGCCCCTTTATCTTGTAAATCTTCCGGAAAAGTCCATAAGTTGGTTGAATCCTCAACCTCTTACAAACAAGACGAAGACAAGATGCGTGCATAACCACCAAAGGAGATATGCGCGCGATTGAACAACCTAGATGCCTATAAAGAGCGCACAACAGAGGATCGATAGGGAATTTGAAACCCATCCTTCAGTATTCTGAGTACACGCCGAACCAGCCTGGGGGGCAGTTCCCAATTCGGCTCCGAGCGGTGGGGACGGCGTACTGCCAATTGGGGGGCAAACCCAACCCGCGTACCAATTCTGACACCTCCCGCCGCCCATATACCGACACATGGTCTGGTCCGCGTATCAAATTGTCACTTGGAACTTGCCCCGCGTCGAACATCTCCTCCCTGTCCACGATCGTGTACGCGGCTCCCACCCCACGCATGCCGAGACGACTCATCATCTCAGTCACACGAGACACGCAGAGCGGCTCTGATGATGTCTCTGATGTCCCTGAGGCGTCAATAGGAGCAGCGCCGGACCCGCTCGCGCGACCGCGACGGATTATTATCACCAATTCCACGATTCACCTCCCCCGCGTCTGAGAAGCCATGCAGCAGATCCTGGCCAGAATCAACATCATACGACGGCGTCGCCGGAGCACCTTCTTCATCTGCTCCGTCACCACCATTGTTGTCGGACTCGGCCAAATCCAGAGACGGATCGGAAGAGACAGGAGAGAAAGGAGAAAGATTACCTTCTTCGTCTTGTATGACCAAGATCTCGTTGTTCACATCGGTGTTGGCCATTGTGCCTCTGGGAAGATACCACGAACAATCTCGAGATTTAAGGTCGTCGGAGAAGAAGAGTAATCTCGTCTGCAGAGAAAAACGATGGAAGAAAAAGTAGAAGAGAATAACTCTTCTTCGTAAAAAGAGGAGTATTTATAACCCACAGAGGAGTAACCGAAGGGTTAAAGGTGCATCGAGAACCGGAAACATCAGGAATTTTGAAATTCAAAAAGCAACCGCCCAAACGAGTGAATGATGGAGCGCCACGTCAGCACTTATAAATACTAGGGGCTAGGCACTAGGAGCTAGGCGGTGACGTCACAGGGTACGCACACCGCCTGGGGGGCATGGTGTACCCATGGAAACAAAAAACACCCAACAAACAAAGCTACACCGCGCAAGAAGGAAGGTGAAGACAACGAAAAGATTGGTCACGCATGGTGTACTCACGGAATCCAAAAAATACACCCAACAAACAAAAGCTACACCGCGCAAAGCTGGTAGGAGAGCAAGAAGGAAGGCGGAGACATCGAAAAGATTGGTCACGCAGGCTGTACTCGCGGAATCCAAAAAATACACCCAACAAACATGAACCTACACCGCGCAACGAAGGTAGAAGCACAAGAAAGCGAACGAGGAGGGCGAGGAACCGAGCCCTCCGCGCAAAGCATAACAGGCGGCATTCACAGAATACCCCCTGATGGGGGGCAATTGTTGGGGATATAGCTCGGATCCAGTCGCGCGAGTAAGATGGCCCAGTGAACCCCCCGCGAGTAAAGACGTGTTCGCGAGTGACGGAAGCACTAGACGGCGTCGTTCGTTTTGCAAAGCCGTCATCGTTTCGCTTTACCCAAGACGGCGTCGTTTTGCCCTGCCCAAGCCGTCGTTGTTTCGGTTAATTCAAACGGGGAAAGAGAGCCGAGAAGAACGGCGTCGTATCCTCTGAAGGAAGGGTCACGTCCTAGTCCTAGTCCTAGGTATAAGTATGGCCTAGTCCTAGTCCTAGGTATAATTATGGCCTAAAGCATGGCCTAAATATCTAACACACGTAATGGTCTTGTCGCATTAAATATCCACTCACCGCAATGTACTATAAAAGGAGCATTTACTGCGGTAGGTGGGGCATCGGACTTTCGACTCTCTCACTAAACATATCGACCTCTCTCTCTAGAAATCTCATTCTCTCAACCTCACTCTCTTGAACTTTTAGCCATTAACAGATTGGAGATTCTCCTTGCTTGCTTTTCTCTCCCCACTTTCTCCGAGTCTCACTCCTACACTCAGTTAGGCTCAAACACAAAGTCATTGACAGCTTCATCAAAACTATAATATCAACTCGTGGTATGCGCCAATGGCCAAAAGAACTCTCACGGATTTGACCATGGCCACTGGTGAGACGGTTCGTCATAGTCAATCTCTTAGATTTGTCTATAACCATAAACCATTCACCAACAATCTTCTTTATACGTAACCACTTTACCATTCATGTCTGTCTTCTTTTTTAAGGACCACTTTACCTTATGGATTTTATCCCAAGATGTGGGGTCAACTAGAAAAAAACTTCATTGACTCTCGCATAATCCATCTCATGATCATAGCTGCTAACGGGTCACATCTTTGATTCACACCATAAGAAATCCTGGTGGTAGCCTGGTAGGTCTCGGTTTGTTATCATGTTTAATCATCATGACATACCCTTCATAAGTAAAAAAAAAAGTATGTACCTCTCTAGCTCAAGACATGTCCTACTTGGTCGTATAGACCACATCCCTTTCCAATCCATCTTCATTGTCCTTGGACTTCTCCAAGATCTACATTACTCCCACTACTTTATGAAGAAATAAACAATTGTCGCAATCGTTAAAGCCACTTAGCATAGTATCGAAGTAGGAGCACAAAATGTAGGTAACTTTGATAAGCTCAAATCCAGAGATTCTTACTTATTAAGAACACTGTGAGATGACATGGTGACTTCCTCATATGTAGGTATCTATGTCTTATGTCTCACCTTTGGGTTGGTCCAGCACTTCGGTTAAACACCACATAACCCACATGAGTATGTGTCAAGCCGCATCGATATGTTAGCTGTCTTCACATACTAGTCTTTATACATGTGTGTCAACCTATACCAACACCATACTTGACCGGTGACATTTTAGAAAGTTAATTCTCGTGTTAGTGATATGTCACATTTTAGAAAGTTAATGGAGTTGGACGGAGGCTAACGGTAATGGAGTTGGACGGAGGCTAACGGAGAGTGACTAAATGTGACATATTTCAGTAATTCGAGTGACATTGATAAAAAAAAAAGTAATTTGAGTGACAGGAGTTGGATGGAGGATAACGGGAGAGTGACAAAATGTTACATGTTTCAGTAATTCAAGTGACCAAAGTTGATATTAATTTTTTCTAGTGACTAAACATGACATGATTTAGTAATCTCAATGACCGAATGTGGCATTTACCCTTAAAACAACTGAATCGCTATTCGTCGCCCTAAATTTTAAAAAATTTCGCCCTAAATCATACTGAATTAACGTTTATACCCCTAACTCCAATTTCCCTACCTCCTTGTATCGTCCCGCCCACCAGGCCACCACCGCTACCATTCTGATTGCTGTGTGTTTGTTTGTGAATGTAACTTGGTTACTGGTAGGGGTGGTAAACGGTAATCCGGTAAATGGTTTACCTTTTTACCGAACCAGTAACCGGCGATAAACGGGTAAACCGTTTACCGACGGTATCGGCAGTCGAGCGGTGACTTGGGATACTCGGTTTACCGGATACGGTATAGGTATATACCGACGGTAAATTGGTATTACCGATACCGAAATCCCCCTCCCCAAGCACGGTCAGATTATCACAATCCCCAATCTCCAAAGGAATCGATCCTTCCAGATTCTTATTCCCACCAACTCGAATCACTTCCAGGCTCTTCAACTTCCCTATAGTATCGGGAACCCTGCCGCCGAGCTGGTTATCGAACAAAACCCGCCGCCCCCGACCTCGTTTTTTCGAGACCCGCCGCGCAGCCACCCAGGTTCTACAACTCTCCTCTTCTCGTCTTCCTCTCCTTCTGCTGGCAGCGACGGCGACGACGAGCGCGCTTCCCCAGCCATTTCCGACTCTCGTCTCTCCCAGCTGTCGCCGACGCGCGACGCAACGCAGTCGCTAGCCCTTCCCAGTCCTCCTTCGCGGCTCCGCCACATTCCGGCTTCCCCGCCGCCGCCAGGCCGCCTCGCCATCTCCTCGACGTCCTGCCGTCCTCGCCTCCTGCCGTCTACCATCCTTGGAGCCTGGTCGCTTGGAGGTAAGCATTGCCGAATTGGTTTCCTGCTGTGCGTTGAATGTTGATATTTTTTGAATTTGACGTCACTTATCACGGTATTTCAGTAATACCGGTTTGTAACCGTTTACCGGTAATTCGGTAATCGGTAAACCGGTTACAAACCGGTATCGGTAATCGGTAACCAATTTGGCCAACGTCGGTATACCAAAACCGGTAAATTTGGTAAACAATTTACCGTTTACCGACCGAATCCCACCCCTAGTTACTGGAATCACAGCTTTAGCTAGCTCTCGTTACACTTTTATTCCTTTCCTTTTATTTTTGTTCTGCCTCTCGCTTCTCGCTCTCTTTCTCTCTAAACACGAGTTAATGAAATGTCATTTGATCGATTCTATCTTCTGTGAGCTCCCGGAGGAGCCGTCGATTCCACTGTGGGGAAATACCGGATGGCCGGATTACGGGGGAACAGATCAGGTCAGTATCCTTCCTATCAGTAACTGTCAGTAATCCAATCATTTGTCCCTACGTGTCAACCTTTTTCTTTTATTTAAATTAAACACGGAAAGGCACTAAGGTAAATTGCACCCCCTATTTAATGCTGACGCTGACGTTCTGACACTAAATCTAACCATCCTAGCTATCTCTGTTCTAATTCCAACTCAAATTGAATGATTATTTTTTTCGTTAAATAATTCAGTGCTAAAGTCAGTAATTACAAGTATAAATATGAACTTATCTTTTTATGGTAATAGAACTTTCTTCCAGAAAAACTATGTTCACTGAAAACAAAAAAAAAGGCGTGGTCTAAGAAAGGATGTTAGAAAGAGAGCGAGAGTGCATGCGAGGGTGGGCTTTCGGGAGGGGGAGGGATCTAGAGAGTTTGTTTCTTTTTGCAGGTTTCTGGTTGATCGGCGCTCGAGTGGCAGCAGCTCTTCGGATCGTTCTTGTCAGGAAGTCCTTGTTGGACACAAAATGGTCTTGGTGGTGTAGACACCACATTTTGTCCGGAACAACCATCATGCTCAAAACTCAAAAGAATATCTAACTGAAAAAGAAAACTCAAGTAAAAATTTGGACGAGGTTGGTTGAGATTAGCAATGGCGAATCAATAAGTACCAACGATTTTTAAGTCCGTTTTATTTGGTTCGGATATTTTTACTAGGTAGGATTAGCAGTAGCTAATGGCTACCGAATTCGCTTTGTTTAGAATAACAATAGTATTTGGTTCGAATATTTGTACTAGGTAGGATTAGCAGTAGCTAATGGCTACCGAATTCGCTTTATTCAGAATAACAATAGTATGCTGTCACGACCTATGCTAATGTCATTGTATTCAGTTGGTCTCGTTGGTCTAAAGTTGGTCAAAAGGGATAGAACGATTGGTAATTTTGCTCAACGACCCAAATCCATGGTTTGATTAGATGTTTGGATTTGGTTTGAAATTGAATAAGCGAACAAATTGGGTTGGAAGAATCAATTGATTGTTTGAGCAATACATACAATGATCATCTAATTCTGAAGGAAATAACATAAATAAATAAATGTGTAATTACAAATTACAATTTATAACCTTTAAGATACACTTAGTAATTATACATTAAAAAAAACTATCAGAAACAAACCCACACCAACAGCCCAATTCTCAAACTATAAAACTCAACCCAGGCCCATATTTCGGCCCAATCCAGTATGGTCGGCCCAGGTCCACTCTGGTCAAATCGGTCAACTCAGGTCAACCCAATCAACCAAACCCATCATCCTTATCTTATCTAAAGGAGCAGCAGAGTAGCAGAGCAGCAGTTATCTTATCTAAAGGAGCAGCAGAGTAGCAGAGCAGCAGAAATTACTGCCGCCTCTCAAAAGGAGGAATTCGGCCACCTCCTCCAAAGAACCAACACCAAACTGCCAACACAAAAGGTGGTTCAGACCACCACCTCAAGAGCAAAGGAGGAGCAGCCAGCACACAATGATGAACAGTAAAAAGTGATCATATATAAGGGGGGTTTTTACCCCAAAAAGGGGCAGGGAGGAATTTTGGGAGAAAGGACAGAGAAAGAAAAAGAACGAAAACACAAAAAAGACAGACAAGGCATTAAACACTAAAGGGCAGACAAGGGGCATTAAGAAGCACAAAGGGGGGCAGACAGTAAAAAGCCATCGCCATCACCATCCAACGACAAAACCAGGTTGGTACATCCACAATCCACCATTCATATATATGCATCTCATCCATAAATGAGCATAGAAGCAAAAACCATTTTTGGTGGGCAAGTCATGACTATGATTGTTATTCCATAATACCTATTATAGATATTCTTTACTTAAATGCTAGTTTGTGTATATTTTGTATTTATCATTTAGCATCACTCAAATATGTTTATATCCCATCTCATGTAGGAAATCTAAGAAATAATAAGTACTAGCTAAGTTTACCACTATATTAGTTAGGTTGTTTTTTTTATTTATAAACATGTAATCATCTGAACAACTTAAAACGTGGTAGGAGGTAATCCTACAATCTATTCAAACAGAAAATAGAAATCAAAGCAAATTAAGGAAGGGATTTTAGAATACCTCTTTTTGTTTAAGGGCACCCTCTTTTGATCCGATTGTCAAAATTTGGCAATCACACACAAATTTGACCTTTAGTGTTTCCTTACATATTTTTTTGAATCCCCATACCCAAATACTACATATCTAATAAAACCATACATTCAACAAATTTCACATTAATAAACTTGCACTAGTTTTAAAACAAATCCTATTACCAAAGCCCAAACCCAGGTAAGCTTCCCATCAATAGGATGATCATAAGCAGTAGCTATGGTTTCCAATTACCCTAGGATTATTATAGAAATTCTCCACCTTATCCAAAACCGAACATTAAGGCTTAACAAACCTAGAAGGAGTTCTAACAAAATTTACTTTGACAACACCAAAGAGATTTATAAACAATCATAAAGATAACTAAACCATCCATTTTAGGTTTAGAAGAGGTATAACCTAGTTTCTTTCAAACTGAATAAATCTGCAAAAATCAAGGAGATCAAGAGTTAGAACCCCAAATAATGATAATAAACCAGAAAACCCAGAATAAAAAAGGGGTTAAAACGAAAAGACCTACCCAAAACTAAACCTTCGCCGTTGGCTCTGACGCAGGCTGCGCCGCCTCTCCCTTCTCTCGGCGGAGGTCCAAACAATAAAAAAAACAAAAAAAACAGGTTAAATCTCGATCTAATGCATTAAATCGAATAAAAATGGACATGCATGTAGAAAAATCTTACCAGAGGGCAATATCCCCTCGTCATTGCCTCCGTCCCAAATAGAAATGGTAGATCGAGAGCAGTAGAAGGCGAATCAGGAATCCCACATCTATTTCTAATCGATCTCCGAAAGGTAAACAAGAAATAGGGTTAGAACCTCAAAAACCCTAAAAGCAAAAAATCGAAAAATGGTAAAAATCTTACATGCAAACCAAAAAAACTAACCTTTAGAAAACCCTAGTCGCCATCGTCGCTGCTGGTGTTGGCGGCGCTCGTCCTCAGTCGCCGGCGGCGCTCGTCCTCAGTCGCCGGCGGCGGCGGCCCTTTTTCCCCGTCGTGCTCCTCGTCATTTCCAGAAAGAGAGAACGTTAGCCCTATCATCCTCTCGGTTTAGAGAGGAAGAGCGCGAAAGGAAGAATCGAGAAGAGAGAGATGGCGGCGGTAATGAAGAGGTGGCTAGGGTCGCCTTCCTTTCTCTGGAAAAGAAGAGAGACGAAGAGGGAGAGAGAGGTGAGAGTGAGAGGGCGGCGCTTTAGTGTGGCTAGGGTTTAGTTTTGTTTCTCTGGAGAGGTGGAGAAGGATCGAGATCGAGGGAGAGAGGGAGAGAGCGGCGGCCATGGGGTCGTTTAGGTTTAGGAGTTAGCTTAGGGTTTCCAAAAAATGAATTTATACCCCTTTCATTAAAACGACGATTTTGCCCCTACGGTTTCTCGTAAATCACATGCCCTGCCACCGCGTTTTTGTGTAATCACCAAAATACCCTTCCCCCTTTGCTGCACCAAAAAGAGAATCAATGAAAAAATGCAGGCTGCGGGCTTCGAACACACGTCCTCGGAGTGAAACACGATCTAGGACTACCCATTTAGCCAGTTGGGCTACTGGCCAATCATTTGTAGTTGTTATCATCCCATTCAAATTTATTAGTTTAAAATCCTTAATACGAAATGTTGAATGCGGATTAAGTTTATCTTGTTCCTTTCCTAATACGTCAAATTTCTTCTTAATAATTAAAATCCTTGCATTTATTTTAGTAACATCATAATAATTTAAATTTTAGTATAACAAAATCTTTAATACGAAAATTACGTTCAGTGGAACGTGGTAAAAGTTATTATTAAAATTATCAAATTTCGAACGAACTACGTGGACTTTGATCCCGTCTAACGGGTACGTAGGCAACCGATAAGGTTCGAGTCCAACTAACCAATTAATTCCACTTTTAATTTTTACGTCAGTGGGCGTATAATTAAATTATAGTTAATACAATTTAATTTCTTTAGTGGTCTGGTAAGGTCTTAAAAATACCTAAAATACCTAATAATAAACTAATACGGTAAAATCATTAAATGGTCCAGTGGGACCTAAAATTACAAAAAAAAATACTAAAAATACACCCAATTTGTATAAAACTTATCAACTTAAGTAGTACCGATTTAGGGCGTTGTGGGGGTGTTGCTTAACTTCCCCACACGTAACCGTACTCCCGAACCCAGAACTTTATTTTCGCAGACCATATCTCGGTTCTGACCCTAAGGTCGGAGCCGATCAGAAGAGTGTTCGATCCACTCCAAGTAAGATCGATGGCGACTCCCAAAAAAAGCCGACGCGACGACACGCGGACCCCCCGGAGGGACGGTTGCGACATCTTGGCGACTCCGCTGGGGACCTTCGAGAGTCGAGCTACATTTACTAAGTTCGATAAGTTTTCTTACTTTCTCTTATATGTTGGGTGTTTACTTTTTTATTTGCGCAATTATATTTTCGCAATTTAATTCTGCATTCATGCCTAAAAAGCTCTATACCCGAGTTATCCTATTAGAAACGGAAAAGGAGTACCGTGACTTTCACAGTAGTGAAAACCACGCAAAACTTTCCAACCAAGTTGAACTCAGATCCGAGGTTGATCTTGAGGTATCCAGCTAGTTCGTAAGGGCTATGGCAGGATACAACTTGGGAGCTAAATCCCTAGGAATTCCTCTGCCAGCATATAGTAAGCATAGAGGCCTCCCTAAACCGTCCAAAACAATCCCCAAAGCCACCCTGAAACCATGTCGTTACGCCGTCCGAAAGCCCTATGTCTACCTAATTAGGGTAATGATGTAATGATATGTGCTTGCTTATCTAAATGTATGTTTACTTACGACGTAATGATATGCGTTTTATCTTTTACTCGTAAAACTGTGTGATTGCATGAATGAAAAAAGTTTTCAAAATTCATAACATCATTCTCTCATAAGATTTTTATTCACTCATTAACAACTTATCATAAGAAGATTAAAAAGGCATGCATGAAACGAAAAATGAATTTGAATTCATACATCATTAACATTTTGCATAAGCATCACGCATATACCATCCTAATAAGAACGAAATAATTTAACAATATTGAGACGGTCCAGGTTTCCTTAAAATTGCTCGTCCAGAAGGAGGAAGTAAAGACTTCAAGTACTTAACTAGATCCAAGTTCGAGTTCGTCATGGAGGCATTCCAGAAGAAGTTAAGCGATATTGAAGGGAAGATAACCGGATTCGATGAAAAGCTAGCAGGGTTTGATGAAATGAAGGATCAGCTGAACATGATAGTAAAGATCTTATCAGCTAAAGGAAAAGAGGCAGTATCTAACGATGAAGAAATACATTCTGATGAGGAAGACCGCGATGGGCACCTGAAGGGTGAAACTTCTAGTGCCAAGATCCCCGTCATGCCCTCAAAAGACGTAAATGATAAGAAGAACGTGGGATCTCCAATACATGATCGAGAGGAAGACAAATTGGAAGAAGCCATGGACGACGTCCTATTAAAAGAAAAATGGGAATACCTAGATGAAAGGGTGAGAACCATTGAGGGGATAGAATCCTATGGTTCTACAGATGCCACACAATTGTGCCTAGTGCCAGAAGTAATAATTCCCAATAAATTTAAAATTCCATAGTTTGAAAAGTATGACGGTACCACGTGCCCCAGAAACCATCTGATCATGTATTGCAACAAAATGGCTAACCATATTAGAGATGACAAGCTCATGATACATTGCTTCCAGAATAGCCTAAGTGGTTCGGCGCTAAGATGGTATATGCAACTCGAAAGATCGAAGGTGAAAAGGTGGCAAGATTTAGCTGATGTGTTCATTAGACACTACAAGCACAACCAAGATCTAGCTCCTGACCGAGAAGATTTGCGTAACATGGAAAAGCAAGAAAATGAATCTTTTCGTGAATATGCACAGAGGTGGTGAGGAAAGGCCGCAGATGTTCATCCCCCATTGTCAGAAAAAGAAATGGTTTCGACCTTCTTCGAAACACTAAAGCCTCCATATTACAACAACATGGTAGGAATCACTACAACAAACTTTGCTGATTTGTTAGTAATTGGAGAACGAATAGAGAAGGGGATTAAGCTAGGAAAAATGGAAATCCCAGAAGCCTCTAAGAAACCGCACCAAGCCCGAAGGAGAGAAGGAGAAGTCCATTATACTCAAACAGAATCATCAAGAGGGAGAAGGTGGGATCATCAATCTCAGGCCAATCAAGCTCGTCCCCATGTTGCAAACCCTGCCATGATTAGACATCCAACTTTTCCTACTCAACGAACAATCCAAAGCCCGACACAAATCGCACCACCAGATAACCAAGACCAGAACAATCCCGGGAAATACAAAAAACCTCTCCAAATCGACCCTATCCCCATTACATACACCGAACTTCTCCCCCAACTAATTCAGAGTCACCTAATTTCCCCAATACCATGTGAGCCAATGAAACCTCCATATCCAAATTGGTACAGGTCAGATCAACACTGTGCTTACCACTCAGGAGTAGCGGGACACTCAACTGAAGATTGTCGAATGTTCAAGATCAAAGTCCAACAAATGATGAAAGCTGGTTGGTTAAAGTTTGAAGAAGATCCTAAATTCCCAGACGTCAGCAACAACCCACTGCCAACTCATGAGAATTAGTAGGCATGTTACAAGGCAAAGCTCGATTGAAGGATGATGTTGATCCTATCTAGTAAATAAAATATCGAGATAATTTGCCATAACAAAATATGTATCACTTTTGCTTTCGTCGTCATGAATAAAAGGTCTTTCACGTTACGACCTCTTCGGAGCACTGTGTAAACCTTTTCAATCTTAATTTTAGAGTTTGCATCAATGGGTTTTCATAATCAAAATAGTGAATACCACTTCTGATGTCTTTTAAAAAATCTACAAAAATGAAACCCGTCAAAATCCAGTTTCATGCTCAAGTTAAGCCATGAGATTGTCATGCTAAGAAAATGCGAACACCCCACTGGTGTAGAGAATTTTAAACACCCCATTAGTGTCGAGAGCTTAATCTCCCCACTGGCATTAAGAGTATGAACACTCTACTTGAGTTCATATAAAATTGAGAGTCAAAATTAATAGTCAAAAGGTGTGACGAGTATACGACATCACGCTACTTGTAGAGTCTTGTTGCCACTGTAGTCGACTTTTGCTAACAGGTTGAGACTCCGTTCATATGAAGTCAAATAGCCAAATCCCAGTGCAGCGATACACAGGGGACTCAACATTATGGATAGGAAACTTCTCACTGAATGTCATGACTAGTGGATTGAAGGAGTTCAAGGATGCAATCTATGCAAACCAAGGAATCACACGCACGAAACACTTATATATACAAACAAGCGCATAACGCCAGCAATCTCGCTTCTTCGGGAAGGGAATAGCCAAATCAGGCTAGCTAGCAAAAGGCACCCACATTCTCAATCACCAAGACAAACCCTCAGCCTTCTTATACTTGTGTCAAGAAAAACAATTTTAGAATTAAGAAAAATGAGAAGCATAGATGGGGGCATACCATAGCCAAGTAAGTCCCGCACAAAACAAAACAAAAAAATAAGTGAAAAAATAGAAAATATGTTGTGGGACTTACAAATTAGGTGCCCCTAGTTAGCATTTGAAGTATCAACCACATGCACCAAGTCAAGGTCTTACAAAGAAAGTATGATGACCTCAAGCCACGGTCTTACATGATAAGAAAGCTCTTTGGCAAAAAAATCACGTCATCCAAGGTACTCGTCATTTTGAGAGCAAGTCGGAAGTTGAAACTCCACCATAATCAACATTTAGAGGTCAATCAAGAATCTCGACAAGTCAATAACCAAATTGCATTCGCAAAAACCTTAACCCTCGACTCATAAACCATAATTTCAAAGACAGGGGGCAAGACCAGTTGAAGATAAACTCCCCAAATATGCCCAGAACTCCCTACATTTTTGAACAAGCCTCCATCAACAAAATGTCTGGGATAATAGTGGCTTTCAATCAGGGCAATCCCATACTTGGGGGGCATAGCCAAAATCCCTTTACAAGAAGCCTTATATGGGTAAGATCAAGATATGACTTATCCATCACCCATCTGAATAAACCACACTTCAAGAGCAAGAAGACTCCTACCATCAAAGTCATATCGGACAAAAACCCCTTTCATGGAAAAACAACGTCCACAACGAAGCCATAGGAAGGTATCCTAAATCAATCACACCAAGGTCTTCCACGTTGCTGCACAAGGAACGCAGTTGGCCACCAACATAAAATGAGACATCTCAAGGTGACCAGAATCTTAATGGTAGCTGAAATGTCGTACACTCAAATCACCTATAGGAATTAGTGGTGAGCAGAACCAAAAGTGGAAGTGAGAGCGAGCAAAATCAAAAGCAAGAGTGAGAGTGAGGGCTTACTGATATTCTCATGGCTTGACTTACACTTCTTTTATTGAAAAAATCAAATTTGACCACATGGCAACTACCACGCAAAAACGATTTTATCCAATTTACACACACTTCACGAAAGCAAAGTCTTAATATGGCTTTCATTATTTATTCTCCAATAAACATTTTCAAACATTGTTGCATTCATCATAAGTCAAGATTGATAAAGTCACTCTTTGTTCTGGAGAATAGAAAGTGAGCAACATATCTTTGGGGGCAAAAACGGTGCAGTATGGAAGAAGGGGAAGTCTGAGTACCCAAGAATCAGATTATTCAACTTCACTCATGAGCTTATGAAGAAATCTCAAGGGATTTGAGAACATTCAAATCTCATTAAACCAACCATCCAACTTATTATCCTTAAACTTCAGGGTCAGAAGGAGAGGGAACCAATATACTGCACATACCAAGAGATGCACAACTCTGAAATATAAGGGTCCAAACTTGACCGACTAGAAGAACAGTGATAAAAACACATCATTACCTTAGCTCACAAAGTATATCTTCGTGCAACTACCACCAAGAAGATATACCTCAGGACAACAAGTTCAAAATCGCTTCAGCATTAGCACGAACTATGGATCAAGTTGATCGAAAGGGATTGACAATCTTCGAAGATGAGCAATTTAAAGGAGACCCAGGCAAAAATTTCATAGAGATTATCAAATGCATCACATCTTCTTTTTCACTCAACATTCACGACTTCATCGGTGTGATTCATCACGCCATCAATTTCGAAAATCATTTTGATACTCCTTAAACAAAATCATATGTTAAAATGGGTCATGCATTTATTGCCAGCAATTCCCAAAATAACTCATGCATTTAGTTAGATTTCCAATGTTTGTAAAAAGGAATCACTACAAGATAAAACTACATTCACGTGAATTCTTCAAGTCTCATGTTTAGCTTTCACGTGCATTTATGACAAGCCATAACAACGGTTTAGGAACATCCTAAACAAATACCATGAACATACGATATCGGTGCGGGCGAACAATCACGGGCCCTCTAATAGACGTGTTCCGTCGACTATCACGGACATTACAAAAACTACCTTGTCAATTTGTTTCGTCGACTATCACGAGCAAATTAGATAATCTTTGTGGCGTGTTCCGTCGACTGTCACAGACATTACAAAAACTACCTAGTCAATTTGTTTCGTCGACTGTCACGAGCAAATTAGACTATCTTTTTAATTTGTTCCGTCGACTATCACGGGCAACTAAAAATTACCTAGCCAATTTGCTTCGTCGACTATCACGAGCAAATTAAAACCCCCTACTAAATTCGTTCCGTCGACTATCACGGGCAATTTAGAAAACCTAGTCAATTTGCTTCGTCGACTATCACGAGCAAATTAGACCCCTGCTAAACTTGTTCCGTCGACTATCACGGGCAATTTAGAAATTAACTAGTCAATTTGTTTTGTCGTCTATCACAAGCAAATTAGACTCCTGCAAAAACTTGTTCCGTCGACTATCACGGGCAATTTAGAAATTAACTAGTCAATTTGTTTTGTCGTCTATCACAAGCAAATTAGACCCCTGCTAAATTGTTCCGTCGACTATCACGGGCAATTTAGAAAACCTTGTCAATTTGCTTCGTCGACTATCACAAGCAAATTAAAACCCTCATGCTAAACTTGTTTCGTCGATTATCACGGAAAATTTAGAGAACCTAGTCAATTTGCTTCGTCGACTATCACGAGCAAATTAAAACCCTCATGCTAAACTTGTTTCGTCGATTATCACGGACAATTTAGAGAACCTAGTCAATTTGCTTCGTCGACTATCACGAGCAAATTATACCCTCTGCTAAACATGTTTCGTCGACTATCACGGGCAGTTTAGATAACTAAGTAAATTTGCTTCGTCGGCTTTCACGAGCAAATGAGATCCCTCCTTCTAAAACTTGTTTCGTCGACTATCACGGACAATGTAGAAAACCTAACCCCACTCCGCATACCGCGAGGGGGCAACCAAATTCCCGAGTCAGCTTACCGCAACCGAAAGAAAAAAAACCATTCACCCACTCTGCATACCGCAAGGGGGCAACCGAAATCCCAAGTTTGCTCTACCGCCATGGGAATAAATCTACACCCACTTTGCTTATCACACCGGGCAACCAAATTCCAAAGTCTTCCCTACAGCCATGGGAACAAATCAACAACGCACGGGAGCTGAGGAGCGCCCCAACCAATCAAAACCTCACAGGAGCTGGCGAGCCCCTGTATCAGTCAACAACGCACGGGAGCTGAGGAGCGCCCCTACCATTCAATACCTCACGGGAGCTGAGGAGCGCCCCAACCAATCAAAACCTCACAGGAGCTGGCGAGCCCCTCTATCAGTCAACAACGCACGGGAGCTGAGGAGCGCCCCAACCATTCAAAACCTCACAGGAGCTGGCGAGCCCCTCTATCAGTCAGCAACGCACGAGAGCTGAGGAGCGCCCCTACCATTCAATAC